ATATATGTAAATCTGTCTTACATACTAAATTCACACAAATATATGTAAATCTGTCTTGCATACTAAATTCACTCAAATAAATGTAAATCTGTCTTACATACTAAATTCACACAAATATATGTAAATCTGTCTTACATACTAAATTCACATGAATATATGTAAATCTGTCTTGCATACTAAATTCATACAATTATATGTAAATCTGTCTTACATACTAAATTCACACAAATATATGTAAATCTGTCTTACATACTAAATTCACATGAATATATGTAAATCTGTCGTACATACTAAATTCACACAAATATATGTAAATCTGTCTTACATACTAAATTCACATGAATATATGTAAATCTGTCTTGCATACTAAATTCATACAATTATATGTAAATCTGTCTTACATACTAAATTCACACAAACATGTTGCTCGGTGGGGCTTTTCATGCTGTACCTTACAATCCAATATACACACTGTTTTAGTAATGTTTCACAATGACTTCACATATTAGCTTTTAGACTATAGACAATATCAATTCCATTAAGAACAAGTAATTGCATTACACTCTACATTAATTATCAAAACAAATAGTTGTGTTTAAATCAATATAGTCGAGTTTAAACGTGAATGGTCAAGAACATGAATATTACTTGTATATATTAAAAAACTACAAGCTAAAAAATGCTCGATTTTTGATGATTTTTAACTATATAATAGTTGCTACCATTTCAAACGAATATACGTGTGACATAATGTTTATAGAAATGCCGAACTTGATCGGCCAGGGCATGCCAGATATGATCCCGGAACAGAATTTCTTAAAACGAAATGGCCGTCAATCGGCCAATTCGAATCCAATCTGAAGATGTGCGTCAAGGCCCCATGCATTCTCCTTCGCATTGACTATGGGCCTTTTATCACTAAGCTAGGTAGTCGGCAGGGAACGCCCCACTCGTCTGTGCCACAGGTTAATTTAAATATTAATTACCGGATCTACTTTTTGTTAGGCAATGAGTGCGTTCTCGTCGCTACCTGTGAATGCACTAAGCAACGTGGCAATAGTGACCGTGGCAACGAAAGGGTGTTTGTATTTGTCCGTTGTTATGCGAGCGAAACTCATGTAAAATTTATTAAATTTATTCTGAAACCACGCCCAGTTGCACCTTTTTACCTATCGATTTCGTCGTTCGCTATCTTTTTTGTCTAAACTTCCCCGGCTCTGCAAGCACGGGTAGTAAGAACTGCCCCGAGTCGCCTCAGCTGTGACGTCACATAGCATGCCAACGAAAAGTGGGCAGGCGCGGGGTACCCGCGTCACTGAGGCGACGGCGTGAACGCACTCTATGTTTAATTGACGATTCACGTGTACGTCTCCTACTGCAGGATTTACTTTTTCAATATATCAACATGTTGAAAAGATTTTAGCACTGAATGTCAAAATATTTGATTATATTTATTTTAAATAACACACTATTTTTTCAACGGAAGCTTAGGATATAAGTAAAAATAAATGAATTCATTATGTAACAACAATTTTGGTGTAAAATTTTCGCTGTGGCAGAGTCTAGTTGAGGCTACCTGTGGCTCCTACGGACATAAGCTCGAAGACTCTGCAAGGGAGAGTGGGCCTCATGATGCCCAATGTATGTACGAAATTTGAGCAAAATCCCTCCACGCTCGACAAGATCCAGTTCCGAAATTGCCAGAATACTGAATTTGGATCATTTTTGTTACATTAAAATGGCTGCCGTCCGGCCTTCTTGAATCGTATCGAAAATTGAACGTGCATATACCGGTATATCCAAGATACGGGGTGTGTTTGTGAAGTTTGAATGCGATTGGTCCAGGCATGTCTGAGATACAGACGGAGAAGCACGCACGCACGCACGCACGCACGCACGCACGCACGCACTTCAAAATACTAGACTTAATAATGTGGGCACTATCCATAAGTTGAACAGACTTGAACAGTTGAACAAAGTAATTGTATGATCTTTCTGGAAGTATCCGACACATTACGTACGGGTAAGAATATGTTATCCAATATACTGTGTCTAACTTACTGGCGTACAGATGAAAAAAACGCGGTTTCTCAAATTTTACATTTCACGAACTTCAAAACGCAACATCGATACACCCATCACTAAATAAACATGATCGAAACAACACTCGAGCTGGCGTAGTATAATATCTTTGCGAGAATGGGTGGGTGTGAATTTATACACTAATTTCCCTGGTTACCGGCGGAGTTATGTGCTATCGAACATTTACGGCAAAATCCATGAAGCGCGCACATTTCAAATGTAACAGCGGAACTTAAGGCGCGGCGGTGGTCGTCGCGCAGCGCGTGTTCGAATTTCATGTAAATAAACAATATATTTTACTAGCGTTGTATACGTCGCTACGAGTCCCACATCGAACAGGACGCGGCAACACGACTGCCGCTCTTTAAAACTTGACTCTACTGACTGGTATTCAATCAACGGCGATTTGAACTAAGTTCGCGTTACTTTATACTAGACGAATTAACCAGACATCACGGCACTAATTGATCATTTCAAGAACAGGTATCGCCGAAACAGAAATGAGCGGTGATAACTACTAGTAGACCAAAATACTTATTGTAAACTTACCTTTATTGGATCTGCTACGGCAAAACCACCAACAATGAGTATCACCAGTAAGCCTAACATTATTCGTATCGTTGATGCAGTCGTCTTGCTCAGAGAAATCGGAGTAGAATTCGATGTGCAGCGTTTTTTGACTGACAAACAAGGCACTTCATCAGACATTTATAGACGTTGTGTATCCAAAGAATTGTTGCAATTCTATTGGTTGTTATTCATGTCACACGTGCGTGAAGATGTATTAATATTGTTTCGTGTTTCCGCTATTAGGACCGGCAGTCTCTAAATAGCAAAGTTTCGTGTGTGGGACATAAAATTTACTCGCATACACACGGCATTACTAGTCTAGACACATGTCTACAATGTAATTTATACAAAGATTGAGAAAGTATTGTTTCAACCACAGGGAGTTGGACAAACTTGTGTATTTTAATAAATTATTAAATAATAAAATGTTATATAATTTCTCTTTTACCACCCCCCCTCCTGATATCGATTTGAAGTAATCACTTATCTTAGTTTATACCACTCTTTCCTTTATCACAACTTTGTTACGGGTTGATGTTATCCTGGCACGTTTCAACCATTGGGATATTTTACTATAATAGGGCGTGTCTACATCGCGCGTTAAAATTTGCATATAACATTAACGCGTAACAAAGCTGCCGTAAGCGAAAGCGAAAGAGTAGTATGTATGTACTTTTTATCTTATCACACAGAAACGCCTGTATTCAAATACCGAGGTCCACACTACAATGTATATTCCAGTCCACACGTCAGCTACCAGCTGATTTAGTAAAATATAACACCGACAACTTTCACTTCCATATACGGTATGTACGCAAATACATATCTACTGTCAAAACACTGGCCACGATTGTTTATTAACCCTTGGACGAATATACAAATCTACTTACTTAATTATGTCTGATTCACTATCCAACCCTAACACTAACAGTCAGTTCAATTAGTCACCAATTTGTTTGACAGTTTTATCAAAGTCTGTTTTGTATAAGCTTCTAGTCAAGTCAACATTAGATCCTGATCGTTGAGGGATTTGATACAAGTGTCGTCGTGAGCTGAATTATACATACATTACATGACACCTTGGGTATTAACTAGATATAGGGACGAATGACAACCTTTTAGTCCGCTATTTCACTTTTTTTTTAGTAATGAAAAAAACGTGATTTTACGGTTCTGCGCTGATAAATCATATAATAATATGCAAATGATTGTCTAGCTGGTATCACAGTGTCACAAGGTAAATTATACGGTGAAGTATTATGGTGTGGTAGAATCGCCAAACGTAATACAGAAATACAATGGCCAAAATAAAGTACAGTCGCCGACCTTGTGGTTGGGTTCTTTACCCCAAAATACACAATGTAAAGATATATTGATACTGATATATGATCATACACAGTAATGCCAGGGTAGAACTTTGGGATAGAACACGCACACCCGCAACAAACATGAACGCACTTCAAGAAACACAAGTATATGTGGTCAACGAAATATTTAATATAGAATAATCTCAAATAATATTTGTAATGCAAATCATCAAGTTTGAACACGAATAATTAAAGCAACAATTACATTATCATTTAAACGCAAATAACCATGGTTAATGCTCTAAATAACTTAATCAGTACATAATCTGAAAATACAAGTAAATAACGTTTTATGCCGTCACTTGTAGATTGTTAACATCAGTCACTGTACCATAACTACGAACGCAGTAACGTAGAAATAACAGTGCAACGTCAGAGGCTACTTAGCTTTTGTAGTGACTCAGTTCCATGCACAGTGTTCGTTGAATCACACGATTTAATGTATTGATGGTGGTTTGACAATCTCCTAGGAATTTTGTCTCGATGACGGTTTTACAAACAAGTTGCAGCACAGCTATGGAGACATGGCGACTTCACCATGTAGAATACTATAGTTGGTAGAAGCACATGTAGTTGACCATGGGGTTTCCAGCCAAAAGTATGAGGAACTGGCAACAAACTTCTCAGGATGTTAACTGTGACAGGCAGCAGGGAGAAGTGATCCTTTTGTTTCACGCCATGTGACAAGTTAATTTATTCAGGAAGGTTTCATTTTCGGATGGGTTAGTTACACCCAGTGTCAAATACAGCGCCATCTCTGGCCAAACTAATTAAACTTAATTAAACTGTAAAAATGTACACTCCAACAATTAGTGAAGTGAAGTTATTGAGAAATGACCCTGTGACACACACCCATACCTTAATATAGTATACTTGATACTTGCACCATTGATGCAAGGTTAAATGGACTGACAAGAACATCAGCCTCATTGTTGTACATTGTATATAATGAAATGACACAGCCGATCCAGCACACACAAATATAATTGGGGTCTATTGCTGTTGGTTCAAACGATAAGATGAAACGTTTTTAAGTGTGTTGTGTTTACAACATGGCTTTGCTAACACTGCCAGGGAAAATCAACAGTATAACTATATTTAGGGAATGAATTACGACTCGCTGTCAACGTCTACATGATAACAGTGCAAGACGGAATGTGTGCAATAATAAAGTGTACATCCAAGCCCTGTTATCGCGTAATAATAACTCATATCAATTATGATACCCGGAAATGACGAACAATTGAATATATGTGCAGTGGTAGCCTGAGAGGAAAGACATCGACAGTGTAGTAAATGCATCGTATTGTAGTTACGCGTAGAACGTCCACGAAGTTGAAAATAACCATGAATTCTAAAGCGAAGAAGCGATATAAGTTATTTACCCGGCATTCCTAGCATGACGTCACCAATGTCGCATTTTTGGATGAAAATGAAATCATCATAGTCCATGATTTTATATGCAACGATTTGGAAATTGGTGCATCTACCCCGCTCAATATTTTGTTAATGGGTTGTGAACCGACCTGAGTATGGGAACGTCTGATTGTTGAAACAAGAATTAATTTTGTCTTTTCATAAAATGGTACAAAGACGTAATGGTCGATCAGATGGCGATGAACCAACTCATGAATATTAATTTCAATTTACTATGACGTCATATTACTGTCGATTGGCTAATCGGGTGTCTGATGGTCATTTTAAATTTGTAAATAATTTGTGAATTATTAATTAATAAATAATAATAATTAGTTAATTGCGTGCAGAAACCTGACGAATGACAGTCTGCTTCTAATAATTTCCCTTACTCGTGAATAGCTAATCATTTTGTTTGTATGAACTAAAGAGTAACAACCCTAAAAATAACGGTCTAAAGATAAAATAATCTGACACGTCAGGGATACCCGCGACACTGAGATACTAGATCAACTTTACTACTGGGCAAGTAGAATTACCAATGCTAGCAATATTTACCACGCTGCCCTGTTTATACTTAACATTCTAACTAGCTCTAATCGTAATACGAATATGCGATTCAATAAAAACAATATCGGATTACTTAATGGTCACGAGGTCACTGTATCGAAAGAAACCCGCAAATGCGAGTAAAAATATACACAAATCTCTGATGTCAAGCAAAGGCACGTTTTAATGAGTTCGACAAGGCTGTCAATCATTGAATCTAATACAGGCAACTTCTTCTTAACTGGTTTGCCGAGCAGTCGCTTTGCGGACTCGACAATGCTTTCATTGGTGGTGGTTGTGGGACCCTAACCAGGCTATGTATGCATTGAACGTTGTATGCTTCGACACACTGCCTGGTACGTTTTAGCACTGAGAAGGGCGCCCTCAATTAAAACTCTACAGATACAGCAGAAAGTGGACGAGCTGAACAGAAAACACTGGAAAATCGTTGCCCTGAGCAAACTTAGCCCACCTGAATGCATACGTGTAACTTTTAACCGTTGTAAACAATGCGGGTTTTGTCTATCAGGGTTGTTATAGGTGGATGGCTCGTCAGGTTGAAAATACGGGAAGTGGTTGTAAT